AATGTAAATCCTTCCAAAAGTTTCTATCCATGTAGCAAGTAGGAACGAAAAGGTAATGCTAGGCATATCCATACTGAACCCCACTAAAAGGCAGAAAGACTGTCCAGAATCGTATCATAGTCGTTTTTTTAACGAATGCATATCGCCCGTTCACTCAGAATCCAAAATCGAGCGCATGTAAATTTAGGCCAGCTTAGAAGGCATGCAATGCAACACAGGAGTACGGTAGCTGGTCCTGCAACGAAGCTAAGTACTGTAGTTTTTCGAATAATTCCGGTCCTACACTTAGTGGCTTATCCCTTAGGTGTTGCGCCTTTGATCCCTTTTCGCTATTGAATTGTGTTTCAGCTTCCCTGTGTTCTTTTGATCCCTGCTATGTATTGCACACCTACTGTTACACTAACTACCTATCCGTTGATCTTCGACCTTCGGAGGAGAATTGGCCTGAGGGAAGGGAGCCTTCGAAGCATCACTTTGTCAGAAATTGGGGGACTTACCGTAATGATATCCCGTTTTTGCACCAGCGAATTCGCGTTCACGGACTACGCCGACCCTCCTTCCGAGGGGAAAAAACATAGCGTCTTGAGCTCCTCAGTATCAGTTTTGCATAGGGAATCCTTTGAACCCCACCCCTGTCTTCAGTCGATTGGCTTTTTTTCACCATGAGACAAAGCGTTTTATACGTGGCGTAGAACGTCGACGATCCCTCACAGACTGGATTTGGGTAACCTAGCGATATTGGTTTGTTCCCAAGTTTCCGTTTCAAACTGGCATGTCTTCTGTCAAGATTAGATTCACACAAAGAGTTGAGAGCATTATCGATGTGATGGCCACGCATAAACGTTTTTCTACGTTGTTTAATCCGGTGCACTTCACTCGACTCTCATGTTCTTTGCTGTCAGTTCATATCGATTTGCTCGCTCGCCACTTGGTCGTAGTTTCGGCTGTGTGCCCGTGATTTCACCCATTCCTTTTGGTGGTCTTAAGATCGCGATCCGGGATAACTGTCTTCCTAACCTTTCTGTCATTTGTGTGTTAGTTTCAAATCCTTTACCTTGGTAGAACAGTATTTTAACCGTTGCTTCGTTGCTAGGCCCATGCACGTTAGGTTTTTTGCCGTACTTCGTAGCATCCACACAGGAGTGGAATCCATTCCGTTACACACACACACACATACATACACACACACACACACACACACACACAACCCTTTTGTTCACTCCAGAGATCATCAGCTCCTTCGAGCACTCGTCGTCATTCTCGCGGTGACCACTACGAAGTTAGGTTTAGCTCACTTCCCTACTTCTTCCTCTACAATCACACATCAAAGACCTTCAGAGTGCATTTTACGCGACCTGGCTAGCCACCGCGGGTATATCATACCACAACATCATCAACAGATGAGTATTCAGTCGACTTCTGGACCGCGATTTACGCCGTCCTTCTTTTAAGGTCCTGCGCTGCATTGACATTATTCTGTTTTCGGCTTCCCATCTCTATCCAATTTATTTTCCTGCGCTTTTCAGTTGTATGGAGCTCTCATTCTAGCGTTAGCCTCCCACTGCTTTGAGATCGTCGCAGCGCGAGCGCTTCGGTAGGTTCGCTGCTTCGTGTGAAGCTCTCCGGTCCCTGCACACCAACATTCTTCGCCTTCTGACTAGCACGGAATTTCTCTTTCTTGGATCTACTCCGCATGAGTGGGTTTCTTTCAGTTCCCATTGTCGAATTAACTTCATAAGTGCTGGTGCTGAAGACCTTGATCATAATACCAGGTGACCTCCGGTCTCCTTACCTGATGAAATAGTGATAAACACTTCTTGTACTGCCTTAAATTTCCTCTCTTGCGGTTACAGAGCTTCTGTCAACCGAATATGGTCTTTCTGCGAGGGTCCAGAGGTGTTTTCTTATGTATCTACTAGCCCAGCGTTGAAATAGAAGAAAGAAGGAAGGTAAAAGGAAGGAATAGGGAGGCTTCGCAGATTACAAGTATCCTGAGACGCTGTCTTGCCTCGATCATAATTCCTCTTATACCTATTTGAGGGGTATTTTCTGTCCTAATCATATCTAAAGTCGGGCGCTGTTTGGCGACGGGGGGAGGCGGCGCATTTGCAACATTAACGAACTTCCTCGACGGGTTTTTGGTCAAATCCATCTAGGTGCCTTCTCCTTCTAGTTGACAGGTTTTACCATGATCGGCTTGACGAGCTTGGTCTAGCTTCACAAAAAATCTCAGGTTTTATCAGAGTGAGACTTGTAAACTAGAACTAGTGAAGCAACGAAAGTGCAAAATGCCCCCCGTTGGCGAACTGCTCCCTAACGTCGTCCTCGAATTCCTTCCCACCAGCATTTCTAGGGGTGCCTTTCCCATTGCTGCATGGGGTGTGACCCTGCATTCAAAGAGCAGGTTTAACACCGCATACTCCAGTCTATTGTCGAGCCGCAACTCTTACGTGGTGTTTTTGAACGTTCGCTGAAACGTTCAGCATTTCCGTCAAAGTAGGGATGCTACTCGGTGCAAAACTGCTGACCTATCGCGCTGTACGAAATTCCGCTGAAGCGGGTGGGCGGTGAGAGTTGCGGGGAGCGTTGTCCGAAATCAAGTGTTCCGGCAACCCATTTCTTCAGAAAACTCCTTCAGCTTCATTATTGTCTCTCTGGTGTGGTGGTGCCCATCCCGGCTACCTCCAGCCGCTTTGACTTGGCATTCACCAGGATCTGTCCTTTACTCCCCTGTTGTCTCGCGAAAATCGATGTGGAGCCCTTGCCAGACTTTCTCCAGCTCTTCCCATGGGCGTGAGGATACTTTCACCGGATCTCAACCTATCAATGCACATGTGCCGCATTTCCTTGACATTTCCTTCAGTGGCTATGTTTGCCTGGGAAACCTATATCTCGGCTGATGGCAAGGCTGCCCTCTTGACCGCTTACGGTTTCTTTCAAGATAGGATAGTTCGAAAAAGTTCCTTCCTGTGCTCATGGTTGATACACCCACCTCGGAGTTCTTACCCCTTAGATTAGACAGGAACTCTTATCAGCCGGCGTGTTTTGACAAGATTTTGAATGCCATAGGTGCTCTCCTTTAAAATGCCTCCCACCTTATCGGAACAGGATCCTAAAGTAGTTGCCAACTGCCAAAGCTGCCTCTTTCTTTCATCTTTTTCTCTTTATGGCTCAGCTTAACGACGCAAAAACATCTCTATAATCTTGCAGCGAAAAAATCTACTGATCGATAATTCTGTTGATGGAGGATTGACTGCCTTGGATGCTTAGGACAGCGCCCCTCCTTGCAGTAGACTGGTTTTCGATACAAAGTCTCTTGCCGCGATATTTTTGAAAAAACTTTGGCCTCCCTGAGGTAATGTTATGGGTGAATTTCTATTTTTGGCGATGAGAAACTACACCAAGCATTGCATGACGACGGCTTGTCATTTGAAAAGTCAGCCAGTGCCATATCAGAAAAACACCTGATTCAGTTTCCCTTGCGTCGTTTTCACCGTCTCCGGGTTTTATTGAATGGTCCTCCAAATAAAGTCCCATTATATTCGTAGTACATCAAAAACACCTTTGATGTGATGCGAACAACACTAACAACACTTATCTAAATTGTAGAACATCTTCCTTTCACAAGGTCAAGGGTGCTAGTCGCCGAGGGTTGTTCACGTTCTCATTTCGCATATTAGGCGGCGATTGCCGCCCAGATTTGCATACGAGGCGACAGGGGTCTCGTGCACGGAAGTCGCCTCCCACCCCCCCCCCCCTCCTTGGTGTTGGCTGACGGACCTATCCGCTTAAAGGGTGGAACAACTGGCCTCTGAAGACGACGATTGGGTCGAAACGTTAGGCCATTAATAAATTGTTCCACCTATCAACCTCGTTAGGCACACAACAACTGAAAGGCTCACTAATCAGTTTCTAAATTTTCTTTTTATTTTCTCGATTTTTTTCATTCCTCGATTTTTCAAATCAGTAATCATTTCCTCGACATTGTCGCATCAGTCATTCTGATCTTCTTTTACCGAGGATGACTAGAATAGCATTGAAGATAACTAAATTTCTCTTTATACCCTCAGGGAGTGTCGTTACTTATTGAAATAATTTGAATTTTTTCGTCACTGCTAAATTACACCGATACCGAGACTACTTTGGACGGCCCTCGTACTCCATCAGCAGTTTTTCCATGAATTTCGATGTTATCCGCTGGAGTTTCTGTCTAGACAGCAGCACCTGCACAAAGCGGCAGCCAAGCTTTGTGCAGGTGCTTTGAGCTTTGACCGCGGAGTTCTTTTCGGTTTCTTCTGTTTTCTTTTTTCTTCGTTGGTAACAGCCAAACCACTCGTTTGGAATAATATTTCCCCTTCTGGACCCGCTTCCAAACGTTTTTCAAACTGCGTCTTAGGGTTACAGGAGTAATGGTGGTGCATACGTCTGCATCAATGGGCAACGCTATCGATATGAAATTCATATCTGAGAGAAGTAGGAATTTATCGGTAATACTGGAGAGTGGGGAACTTCAAGCAGTACTGTGTAATGCCATCTGGAATGTTTTTATTCCCTTTGGGTCGAATGGGTTTGCTCCAGCTGAGACATGGGATAGTGTGTTGAGTGTGCATATTCTACACCCCTGTTTCTCATTGTTGGTGAATGTCACTTTGGACGACAGATGTGTTGTAAACAGTAAAGTTGTCCCAGTGCTTGCGCTCCTTGTTTGTGTTTTCGTTGCATTTGTATTGGCGTAGATGATGTGAGACATGCTCTCTTGACGAGCCGTTATCACGAGCTTTACTGAAATTTATTTTACAGAATATGCCGCGCAAATTTCTTGTCGGAGGTAACTGGAAGATGAACGGCGACCAAAAGTCGATCGATGGGATTTGTGCTTTTCTCAATCAGAGTGGGGGTACGTCTTTTTTTATGAAGATAGTAGTTTTTTTTATTATCGTTTTATTCATCAACTCAATGTCACAAATGGTTCTATGTAGTTCTTCCTTCAAACCGGTCTCATACGAGCCTGTCATGGTTCATAATCGTGTTGGGGAAAATAGTTTGCTCAGTTCAACCTTCCTCCCAGACTTTCTCGGGCGTACGACAGAACTCCTAGAGATGCTGTATTCTGTCTTCCCAATCGCTGTTCTCCGAAATCGCTTTCTGCCAATCACGAAGTTCAAATACAGCTTTGAAGTGGCTTGAAATCAGCGGTTTGGCCAGATGCGGCTGCTTTACCGCTTCAAGAGATTCCATCATAGCTTCTCCACAGCTAAGCGTTACTGAGCAACGTTACTGAGTTGTAACCAGCTCACACCTTCATTAATCCATGTGGTTTTGTGCAAGTTTGCTTCGGTCAAGCTTGGAAACTGCTAATTTCGCGGAGACACTGTAGACGCTGTCGGGGAAACCAGATATCTAACCACCGTGAACAATATCTGGAACTCCCCCGCCACTACCATGCCTTGAGGGTACTATGAAAATGGTTGAACCTTTTTCAGAAGCATCTGATGTCGATGTGATCGTTGCACCGCCAGCTCTCTTTATCGCTTATGTTAAGAAACAGCTCAAGGCATCGATCAAGGTTTCGGCACAAAATTGCTATAAGGTACACATTTCTCATTTGCTGGTAGTGTTTTACATCTCGCTAACATTTTGTTGGGGCTGCCTGTGGTTAGTTAGTGATTTCCTATTTGGACTTGCATTGTATTTATTCAGGTACCTAAGGGAGCATTTACGGGTGAGATTTCTCCAGCTATGCTCAAGGACTTGGGTATCGAATGGGTGATTCTTGGTCACTCGGAAAGGCGTCACATTTTTGGAGAGTCGGATCAGGTTTGTGAGAATATTTTCCTTAGTCGTTACTTCAGGTGATTTTTTTCTCTTTCTTTCTTGTCACTAGAACTTTGAAGGCAGTCTCAGCACTTTATTTGGTACTTATTTCGAGGGAACCCTTCTTCCAAGCGTTAGTCCCACGCCTCTCCGCCAATTTGCTCTAAGCAGCACTCCTCATTGTCTCGGCAAGGAACAGCGTCTGAAGGGCTCGAAACGGTTTTTTCTCGACGCTGGCTTTAGACGCATTTGTTTTATTTTTTTGTACTTTCCCGAAATGCGTCAACATGTTTAGCTCATTGCTGAAAAGACTGTCCACGCACTTGAATCTCACATCAACGTCATTTTCTGCATCGGTGAGAAATTAGAGGAAAGAGAAGCAGGCAAAACGAAAGAGGTGAATAATTTTTCTTTGAATTTCTACCTTTCTTATATATTTATTCAGTCAATGCGATATGTGCTTTCTAGGTAAACTTCCGGCAACTGCAAGCTCTAGTTGACAAAAAGGTTGACTGGACAAATATTGTTATCGCTTATGAGCCAGTATGGGCTATTGGCACGGGAAAGACAGCAACTCCTGATCAGGCGCAAGAGGTTCGTAACCCATCTACTAACTTTTCTTTATATTTTTCTCGATAATGGATACATGATGTGACACAACAAAACCCTTCTTTACTCTAGGTCCACCTCTGGATTCGCGAGTTTTTGAAAGAGAAGGTTTCTCCTGAAGTGGCCGAGAAGACCCGCATCATCTATGGAGGTAGGATTTGTGAGCTATACAGTTAGAACCTTCTCGAAGACGAACTGTACACTCGCCACAGAGGACGGTTTTGTCTAACCCCGTTTCCGATTTTTCTGTCAATTGTGTCTAAGAAGAATGGATCCGAAGGTGCAGTAGCATGCCAGTCTCTCGCTTAGAATTGTTCCGGAACGGGGATGGAGGATAGTGTTACTCCAGACGCCGTTTTCCGACACCGCGCGCGCTGCTCTCCAGGTATAACACTGGCGTCGATACCAAGAATCTCGCAGCGAATTCGCAGTCAGAGGTAGAGAAAAACCATAATTGAGAGGGCGCAGACGGATAGTGTGTTTGGCGGTAGGGTTACAAGGCATCTTTCAACCGGATGCTCTCTCGCTGCGAGGGTCCAGAGATGTTTTCTCATCGCATCTTCTGGCCAAGCATTTAGAGGAAAGGAAATAAGGAAGAGGGGTATCAGAAGGAAGGAAGAAAAAGAAGGGAGGGAAGGAAAGAGGAAGAACAAGGAAGGGTTTCGCGGTTGACAGATATCCTGAGACCCGGTAGGTAGTGCAGCTGGTCGTGCGGCAGCGCGCGCGGAGACGGGAGACGAGTTCCTGATATTTATGTCCTGTTCCTGTGCAATTTTACGAAAAAAAAAGCCAATACTTACCGGCGCGAACCCATCTGCCTCGCACAGCAGCGAACGGACCAGGATCCACAAAGGTGAAGCACAGCTTCTGTTTTTGACTCGGTAGTTTCTAGAATCTGTTGCCTTTCCTTCTTTTTGGCGTTAATGGATGAATACAAATTTGAGTATGTGCTTCAGGTGCTGTTGCTGAACGTCTGGCAAATTACAGTCTGAATTGCAGGGTTCTGTTACTGCCGAAAACTGTGTTGAATTGGGAAAGAAGCCTGACATTGATGGTTTCTTGGTCGGAGGTGCTTCACTTAAGCCCGATTTCATTAAGATCATCAACGCTCGTAAATGAGCGTTTAGTCTAGGTGTTCTGGTGTCAGTATTGGTCCCGGTAGAACTTGCCTAGTCTTGAGGGTTATCTCGTTACCTTAGTTAGGTGAGCACTATGAGATAACTTGTAGTTCTCGTGTCTTAATTCTGTTATGTGTTGATGTGCATCTCTTTACTTTTAATAAACAGTTCAATTTTTATTCCCACGTGTTTCTTCTTTCGTATTATCCGAGCGCTTACCTCTGAAAATATAGCTCAGCATTCTATGACGTTAAGTTTTTATGAGGTAGGTTTTGCGTCGGTGATGAGTACGCAGTACATCAACGAACCGGTAACCACTGGCAAGGTCAGTTTTCACTAGTGGATCTCTTTCGTTTAGGCGTGATGGGCATATTGTATTAACACGTTGGCGATATTGCGTCCCACTGCTGGGACGCACCTTTTTTTGCCGCGTGGGACATTGCGCCACTGCTGGGATGCGGCATGGGTAAAAAACCAATTTGAAGACGTTTCGAATTTTCAACAGCTGCATATTGTCCATGAAGGCATTGTAGAATATACAGTAGCTGTAAACCGTGCAGTTGTGTCATTGAGAGTATTTTACCGAGGAGACAAACGAAAGTGATTTCCTAGGAAAAAAAGATAATTCTTGGATATATAGAACTGAAGCTCCACATGCAGATAGCTAATGTGATAAGGTAACTTTCAACAATAGCAGATCTTCGAATCCAATTTACCACCTCTGGCGCGAAAAAATTCCTTTTTTGCGACCTTGCCACGGTCCACGTGAATGAGGCGGGAGTATTTTTTTGAAATTTCTGGGGTTTGAAAGTAAACAAGAATAGCGAAGCCTTACCAGCTTCTGCAAAGAATTCTGACCATTCTTCAATTTTTTGGCGTATAAACGCCCTAGCATTTATGCGCATTCTTTGAAAATAGGGAAAGCTGATTCGTCCCACGCGACAGACACGCGAAAGGGCGCCTTGTCGCCAACGTGTTAATACGAACTTTTACGGCGATATTGCTGATATAAAAAGTTGCAGTTATGTTCGTTGCGGATGGCGTGTCAAGCGGGACGGTTCGGCGCGGCGGTAGACCAGTTTTCCACCAGTTGCTGAAGCGAGCAAGTCACAAAGCTGTATCAGTCGTTTTCCACTAGTTATCGCTCACTCGCTTCATTAACTGGTGGAGAAAAGGTACACCGCGCTACCCATCCCGCATGAAACGCTCTTCCGCAGCGGAAAACACTATGCAATTAGTAACTTAAGGTTAACATTAGGACATGTTTATACACTCCCTGAGATCCCTGAGATGAGGTAGACGTGGCTGTGTACTTCAACCAAGCGTCGTGGCGGCTATGCTTTTGGAGAAATATTTTCATTTTGACCCAAATGTGGTCACATCTCTGTCAACAAAGAACAAGATGGGCGTTGTCCCAGATTGAAATATCCCACGAGCAACCAATTCTGTGCCATGTTTGAATGCCAGCCTACCTCGTCTCAGGGATAAGGAGTTCTACTTTGCGATGGGACACTAGGAGAATCAGCGAGTCTTCTTTTGAGACTGCGTGCAAAAGTATGACTGAGCGTACCCCTACCACCAAAACTTCCATTTATCGGTTCTCCTATTCTCTTTTTCTTCCAGTTCGCTATCTGGCAGCGACTATAGATGTTCGAGGAGCCTTTGGCGTACATACTCACTCAAAGCGTCGGTTCTCCCATTCTCCTACTTTCTTATCCTCCAAAATCGTCACACCTTCACTTTCCTTTGACCCGTATTAACCAAAACCGTTTCTTTGATCTATCATTCTCCTATGCTTCCGTCCCAAGGTATGAGCGCAGCTTTCGTAGTGGCATTAAGCTTGCCAGGTGTAAGAAAAACGTGGCAGTCTGTGGTCCTTTGACTGGACTGCGTTCGTCTTTTGTGACCCTGGAGAGTCGAAGGGTTGCTGAACTGTGATAATCCGCGAAAAAAAATATCATTCTTATTGAGATATCGGAGAGATAAAATCAGGGTCAGAGTTGCGCGACAAAGGATTGGGCACCTATCGACCGATCTATGATACTCCAGTATTTTTTTCCTCGAGAGGGGAGAGGGAGGAAGGGATCGATGAGTATACTCATCTCATAGGCTGCAGTTTCTTCCTATCGCGCGATTGCGATTCTACTTTGCAGTGTTTGAATCACTTGCCCTTAGTCTTGGTAGAAAACGGCTGGACTTCCAGTAGGAGCTGTGGACCCAATTGCCTCATTAACTCTGATACCTTGTGTCACAACTCTTCACTCGAATACGGAAACTCTTTCAAGGTTATTCTTCACACATCAGCTGGTGATATCGAGATCGAGCTATGGACTAAAGAATGTCCTCTTGCATGTCGAAATTTTATTCACTCTGCTATGGGAAAAATACTACGATGGTACTATATTTCATAGGCTTGGTAAAAGGTAGGTATCGTGAAGTTTTCAATTTTAGATAGTGTGAACGGTATTTTGAATCATATTTATTTCATTCATTTTTGAATCGTAATTTGTAGTGTTCGAAAACTTTAAAACATCTAAAAGCCTTCAGCCTTGGCGGGATTCACTGCGATATTGGTTACCAGCCCACCACGTTAGGACGGTGTGAATGCTAAAAGACATTTGAAGCTGAATGGCACTCAGTGGCGCCAGTAACGTAATGGACAACGGAATCGCCCGGTTAGCGGGAAAAACGGGTTGCAATACCGTCTCGAGTCCCACTTCTGCCAATCTCTCAGCATACCTGTGTTGACTTTGGAGCGATTAAACAGCAGTTATCAAACTGAAACAACTTTGAAACTCGGCTATTATTTTTTGGGTTCCGGGATTACAACAGTCAGGGTCGCAAGTAGTCCTGATTCTGTGCAGGCATCTGTTTTTTTCCTCGCAGGAGATATTCTTAGGTTTTTGGCCACTTAGTTTTCCTCTTTCAGATTATATAATACAAGGAGGTGATCCCACTGGTACTGGTCAAGGTGGCGAAAGTATATATGGAAAGCCGTTCAAGGTTTGTGTGCTTCCTCTATACTTTCTAACTGCCATTGCTCTCACGTACGTTAGCAGAAGGTAGAGGTTCAGGATGAATTCCATCAGCGTCTCCGATTTAATCGTCGTGGACTTGTTGGGATGGCAAATGCCGGAAAAGATGATAATGGTAGTCAGTTCTTCTTCACTGTTGGCAACGACGTTCGTGAGCTTGACAAAAAGCACACATTGTTTGGAAAGGTTTGTTAAACGTAATCTTACTCAAATTCACAGTTGTGCAGGGTAGCTTTGCTAGGGAGCACTCACTCCTTGTCAAAACTTGTTGTCTTACTGCTAGCTGTTCTTTTCTTAAAAACGAGCTATTGAGGGACTATACAGATTGTTGGAAATACCGTATTCAACATGCTGAAGATGACTGAATGCGACGTCGATGAGAATGAAAGACCGAGAACTATACACAAGATCAGAAACGTCACCATTCTCACAAATCCTTTCACGGACATGAAACCAAGGCATGTTTCTCATAATTCATAAGTTTTACTGTTGTTGTTATCGTGGCCAGAGACCATTTCCGCAGGCTGTCAGAAGGTGATTATTGTCACTGAATAATCCAGTTGTAGAGAACGTGTGAAAGAGAAAAAGGAAAAGAAACGCGAGAAAAAGCCAGTGGAGACGAAGAAGCTCAACTTGCTCTCTTTTGGAGACGAGGCTGAAGAAGACGAAATGGAACTGGATCAAGTGAATAAGGTTTTGCTGAGTGGATACATAACATCTTATGAGAAATTTCCTTTCTGAGAGATGTAGACGGTGTAGGTTTCACATGAATTGATCACAGGTGTTGAATAAGAAAGGGAAATCGGCTCATGACGTGCTATCTGACGATGCGAAACTTAGCAAGCAAGTAGCTGTTACCGCTGATGAGATGGCGGATTATGAACCGGTATGCTGTGTATCTTCTTTGGTATTTTCTTGCTATAGAGCTGTTCAGAGCTTGCCTGAATTTCACTTACAATCTCTCTTTTGCCGTTTTTGGAAAGTTGCCCTAAAATCGAGCGAATTTTGTCGTTAGACTCAAAAACTACAGTTTATGATAGGTGAACTCCCTCAAATCTTCTCAGAATTGAGTTACTCTTCTTAAAAGGTACCTTGATTACACTTTTTCCTCTGCTATTCCTTCAGTAGAGGCTGGTTTTTTGTCATGTCAATGGTGATTGATTGTCAACGCTGATTGACTTTTCTTTTCCTCGGATTCTTTCGTTTTGCATCTTCCGTATTTCCCAACGTATTGCACCAAAACCGTGCAGCATCGTGTTGATCGATAACTATGAACTGTAGTGCAGTTTTTGAAATTACCCTAAAATCCCATAGATAAGAGCGGTTTAATTTACCGGTGAAAAATGAATTGGAATGAAATTGAAATTGAATGCAGTCACCCCTCTAACTTGATGGATGGATAAATAAAAATCGGAGAAGAAGTTTAGAAGAAGCTCCGCCCCTCAACTCTAAACCCCGCCCACTTAATAAACAATTCATATAGAAAAATAGCGATTTTAACGGAATTTCTGCCGGAATCTCTCTAGAAATGCCGGAATTTGATCTCTGGATAGAACTTGAAGAGCCCATTCGATCAGTAAAATTCCATAGATAAGAGCGGTTTAATTTACCGGTAAAAAATGATTTTGAAAAAACATTTTTAAAATTTTATTTCACAACAATTCATTTCAAAACACATTTCACAACAAAACATTTCACAATATCAACAACAGGGACTCCAACATATACATAAGACTAAACTTTTCCAATTTCTACTTCGTCAAAATCGTTTTTGAGATTTTCCAAATCGATAATTGACGGCGTCTAGCTTGAAAGCTGCTGTATACGATTTACGACGTTTCATAGCAGGTGATACAGGATAGAAAGTATAGAAAACAGTAAGAATAAAGGTAGAGTTGTAGGCTATTATTGCGATAATCATGAGCACACAACGCCAAAAAAAACGTATACAAACGTCAATTTTCATTTTCTAGCACAAACCGCTCTTATCTATGGACCGCTCTTATCTATGGGATTTTAGGGTACCATTATCACTATATCAGTGAAAGTTTCCTCAAAGACACTTTTCTGGGCATGGTGGTCCTGTCCCCAAGAATAGCGTACCACTTTCCTAGCTCAAATTACGTGGGAAAGGCGCAGCTCGCTCACGGCGAAACCGCCGCCCCACCCACTGGCCAACGGAACGCCCAACTTCCTCCATTTCTGAAGGCTTCCTAGTTGTATACTTGTTCCTCTACTAGCGCTATCCATTTCGGGCAGCTGTGGGTTCGGCATCGGCTCGGCATGTGGGTTCCATGTTGCGCACTTCGGCCCGTTATCTCTCTCTTTTTTCTCCTTTCTGTGTTTCTCACCATCTTACCATTACTCTCTGAGCCGCGCAAGTCACCTTTTTCGCGAGGCGAATGTCATTTGCTTATGAAGTTAAATGACATTTATTCTATTTTTAATCGGTTGATATTTTCCTATCTTATTGACCTATTTTGGACAAAGCCCTCTGGTTCCAGCATTCCTGTTCAAGTTCGAATGTTCTTTTCAATTTGGAGCTTCGATTCAGTTCCCTTTCTTAAACCGACGAATCGATGAGAGACTCTAACCCATAATCATGTCGTTAAGGAAGAAGATGCCGAGCGCGATGCATCCACGGTGTCGAGTATACGAGCGAAGTTCGCAGCAAAAAGGAAGGTTAGCTGTGCAAGTAGTGCTTCGATATTGTATGTTTACATCTGCTGCTTTAGCGACATCACTTTTAGATTGAAGAAGTGGATGATGATGGGAAGGATGAAGACTTCGAGAAAATGATTGACGATGAACGAAGGAAACAAGAACGCGAAAGAATGTGAATATAGTCTTTCGTTCTGATTATGTTTGCCTTCCTGATGGAATTTGGAAAGAAAACTTGTTGTAGGGAAGCTATGCAAGCTGAACTGAAAGCCATGCAAAAGGAGCACATCAAAGCGCTTCGTGGACCGAAACAGAAGACAAAGGAGGAAGGTATGGAAATAGATTACCACCAGTCCTGCGGCTTCATTTCATAACCAATTCCCTCCTTTTTGGGAGAAAATTGTGATTCGTTGAAAAAGTGCAATCTGTCGCCCTTCGCACATTTCTGCTCGACAGTAGGCTGCAAATCTGCCGTCATTTATGCTTTGTAGAATTACTTGCAGAGCCAATTTGTAACAACGTAAAGTAGGTCGGTACACCTGGTGTTGTGAGGCAGTTCTTTTCAGAAGAGGAGCAATCAGATGCTATGAAACTCTACCACGGGTTGAAGTTGAAGTTCAAATCAAAGCGAGGATATCGTTAGGACAAAGGATCCAAACCGAGAAAACCAGGTAACTAACTTTTTTAGAATTCTTAAATTTCAGGTTGTCTCTTAACTCCTATCCGATTGTCAGCACTTTTGTATTTCCAATTTTCCTCCTTTCCGATAAACATGCACTCAACAGTAAAATCAGCGCAAGGATCACGGATGTGTCCGTCTAGTTGACAATGACCATGAATGAGTAATATGAGTCTGAGTGAAGCTGGCGACCAAACAGTATGGACGGGTCGTTTTCGAGGTGGTTGTAGTTATTTAATTTTTGCTTCCTTCAGAGGCTACAGGATGGGGAACACATGGTGGCACTATGGAGAAATACCTGTGCTACTCGATGGACATGTAGCTTTTCTCCAGTCCGGTTCTCCCAGAATGTGGCGAGTCGTTTTTGCAGTGTGAGCGTCATCCTGGAAAGGGGATACTGGGTCGTTTGGGATGCTTGTTTGGCGCTACCGCGGCCAATTTGCAGAGGTATCCCATCGTGTCGAAACTGTTCGTGTGCTTGTGAGGTCTTTCCAGAACAAACGGCTCGTCAGCCTCACAATTAGAGGCATAATCTTTGGAGTGAGCACACTTGGGCTTTGGTTAGGCTGGTGAGCCCTAGCCACGGAGCAGCCACTAGGCGTGTGGCGTTTGTTCTCATAATGGGCCCATCTCTCATCTTCAATGACGGTCGGTTTTAGAAGGTCTGCCAGGCAGTCACACAAGAAGTTTTTCGCAGTTGCTCGGATATGGTCGGCCAGTGCTGCGGTGTTTGTCGAGACATCCTTATGCGGTATCCGAGTCCATTCATATGAAAAGCGATTTTACTACAGTCGTGTCTATGTGTCCTCTCCTACCCCCTTAATAGCGTCCACATGCAAGTGCAACTTGTGGAGCAGCAAACCTTAACCCATGATGACTGGACATCCACTGTGAGATCGACTTCCTCAGCTCCTACTGCCTTTGCCAAGACTGTTGAACCATTGGTTTGCGGTCCGTTCAATAGCGGTGCCTGCCCTCAACACAGCGCTAACCTTTTTGCCAATCTCTCTCGAATAGTACTGCATACAATATTTGTAATACATAATCTAGGGCCGTGTGTGTTGTTAAGTTCGGACACTCAGCTGGTTGGTCTGCAACGTATGCCCTGCTTTCAGGACTCCCGGCTTAAGCCACTTCACCGCTCTCCAGCGTACCACCCGCATTCGGTGATAACGTTGATTAAAACAGGAAAAAAAATTGATTTGAACAGAAACTGGAGAAGGGTTATGGGACAACTTTATGAAAACTGTGCTACTGAAAACTTGCCTCAGCAAATTAGTGTTGATATGAGACTTCCACGTTCTATAGAATGATCTGAGGGAATATCAGAAATTATCAATCTCCCTCTCTAGTATGCCGATATGCTGGAATTTATTTCAAAGATTTGGTTTTCTATTTTCACTTTTTAAAATGATTTCAAACAGACTATGAGTATGCTGGAACGATTCCAAAAACGTCTGGCAGCATCGAATCAGTCGGCGATTCTCCATGATAAGAAGATCGAGCTTAAAGAGGAGGAGGAGGAGAAGCCTGAGGAAAAGAAGTTTGGAATCGACCTGGACGCAGAGGATGTCGTTGGCGATGACTGGTAGGTGACTGTTTTGCATTCAGGTCATTCTGTAACAACTTGAGACTCTTCGTATGTTTCCTTGACTTTTTCCAGAGGCGTGTGAGGTTTTCATTGAACATTGACGATTCACGCACACCGATATCTACTTGAACAATAGCTGAACACTACAGCTAGCTGATGGGAGGGAGGGGTAGGGGGACAGGGTGAAAAAGCGGAGCGATCAGTGGGACGCTCTTGATTTTAGTGCGAAACGGAAACTAAGCTACTTCTTTGAGTCCCCCTCCCAC